CCATCCATTAATCACCTTCCTAAAGGGATTTAAGTAAGAAATTTCATTATCTAACTCAAAAAATCTAAAAGAATAGGTAAATGCCAGCTTTTTTTTAATGAATTTTTAATGACTGTTTTTGGAATAAGGGTGCTCTGTAAGATAATAACAAAGTAGAGTACTTCTTCTTGGAGGTGTTTTGTAGTATTAATGATTTTTTTAATTCAAAGAAGTTGTGCATTAATTGTATTGACAATGACCCTTTTAGAAATATTAGAATTCCAGTTAGTTAATTTAAGTATAGGAAAGGTGAAATCTCTGCGTTTATTGCAGATTTTTAAAAAACTGTAATCTAGAATATGCAAATCAAGATAAACTACATCATTTTGAACTGTAATAGTAGTGTTAAGTTTGAGGCAAGAAGGGTATTAGCTTTTTCAATTTTGTTGCAGTTGTTGAAGGCAATTACATCATCTATATAACGAAAGATATATATATATGTATGCATATATATGTGTGTGTTTTCCTCTTCTGTGCAAATATATATGAGGTGCGCATTTCTGCATTGTTTTGAACAATTCCCTTCGCGAAATTTCGAAGAATAGGAAGAGGGATTAGCAATATTTTGCAGTTTGCAGCAGGTTTCTATTATTTTCTCTCTGTTGGGTGCTAGTCTTGTAGTCGTCAGTTTCTATGCACAAAAACTGCATAATAGACATGTAACTTTTGAAATTACACTCCGCGGCTGGAGTATAATTCTACCAAACAAGGGCCGATGCTATTCGCACCGCTGGTGCGATTAGCCGCTTGAGCTATTCGCACCAACATTAACTACGCATGCGCATTGAGTTGTCGGATCCGTCATTTGAACCCAATCGAAAAGAACGGCCTAAGTGTTGTAGTGAATCCTTTTTTTTATAAAGGCGGGTTACTACCTTTGCGTAGTTTATCATCTTTTAAGCGTTGGCGACTTTTAAAAAGTTTAGAAAGAAGTGGGTACCTTTTCTTTTATATATTAAAAGAAGGAACACATTTCCTTTTATTAAAGTATATATAAAAAGGGGCAGATTTTTATGTTCACGATGTTTATTGTTTTTCTGAGTTGGAATAGTTTAAATGACTGGTTTTGGGGGGCAAAATCTTGTTTACATTTTTTGTACTTCTTAGAATACATTTAGCTTTAAAGATGTGTTTTGCACAATTAAGACTTTAATTCATATCCTCTGAAAATTGTTTGAGAAAAGATAATAAAAATTAGACAGAGGAGTATTTCTGTATAGAAAATTTAGACATGAAATAAGTTAAAAGCGATTAAATCAACTATTAAATGAATAATTAATCATATAATACTGATTTTTATCAATTTTGTATGCCTGTTTAATTTTTTATGGAAATACTTCGCATTTTCAAGACACAAAAATTATTTCAAAGAAGTTTGAAATATTAGTAAAACCACATTAATAAATTAAATTGAAATAAATAATGGGATGTAATTGAAAGACAGAATTAATTTATGTAAGAGATTCAGATTTAAAATTTGCCACAACAAATGATTTATATATTTATTTCATAAATAACTTGATTTTGAAATATGGCTTTTTGCACCTATAAACATGTGTGGATACTGAAAAAGTGATGAATATATAAGAATATTATAATGTTCAGTAAGTTTCTTACTGAATAATAAATCTGACAGTCCTAAGACTAGGATCTAAGTTGCATAAAAATTCCTCAGTTGAATAAAATAATTTAAGTAATTTCTGTAGCCTTTTTCCAACATTAAAGAATTTTAACTAATTGCACGCTCGCTGCAATTAGAACCATCATTAAACCCTATTTTATCTAATCATTTCCTGAATTATTCATGTATATTGATCGACCTGGTCTTGTAACTGATAATTATTACTTGCAAATTATTCTCTTGCTATCAACCTTCGCTCGTCGCTGCCGCCTGTCTTACGGAAATCGGCTAAAATGCTGTACTTGAGCTGTTTGTGCGCATGCGCGAAGTAGGTAGTGTAAATCAAGGTCCGTAGAAATAATAAAATGACTATTAAACTAAGATTTCTAAATGAAACAAGTACTGCAGAAACAATTGGACCAATGTAGCTTTAGCAAAAAATTAATTTAAATTTCAGCAATTAGATTCCAAACATTAGGGACAAGTTTTACAGCTTTATAGAATAAATATCTTAATTTGAATTTCTTCTATATCGCTACACTCAGGGCTTAATTCTAAATTAGAATGCCGGAAACCCTATGGAAGACGTTAGTAAGAGGAACAAGAGTAAATAAATAAATAAATGACTAAAAATCATTTATTAAAAATTAAATAGTTATTATTATCAAATATAAATAATTATTTAATTAATATTAGCAATTAATATTTATTAATTATTATCTAACCATTAATTAATAATTGATTATATTTATTAAAATATTCAATAAATGTAAAGGGTAAATTAACATTTAATAAGCGATTTTGGTTACTTTTCCGTTTTGCCGGCGCAAAGCGATAAAGTCGCCAATAATGGTACAACCGATGCCAAACGGAATATTCTCGCTGGTAACCTTTTACGCCTCATTTTCAAAAAACAAGTCGCAGCTTTTTCTTATCAGTTGATTGTTTCTTTCAATGCTGGCATATATTACATAGAATTTTTATCAGATAGTTCAGTTTTATGTCTAAGGCCATTTTCGGTAATTAAGTCAATAGGATGCAATCACAGCGCTTACCGAAGCCGAATTATAGAAAGGAAAGTCAAGGGTTAAATTAATCAATTCTAATGACAATGCATTAGTGAAGTTAAGCACTGGAGTTTTACATAATTTCTGAGTAAGCTATTCGTACGACATTGAAATATTCTTGCATTTAAACTTGTGTTCCAAATTAAGATTTAACTTGAAATTAATTGTAGATAATTACTGAGAGCATTAGATTTTTGTAGAGTAGTTTACGTGTGATGAGATCGCTTGGGGTCACGTGATAGGAACCGGCGAATTAGTATGTTGAACCATGAAAGCATAGTAAATTCTTAAATTAATGTCTTTTTAACAAATTTATTGTCTTTATTTATTGGCTTTTTATAAATTTTTAAACGATATTAAAATGTTTATGCCTTCAAAAGAGAATTGTTAGAACTAAAATTTTTTTATATTTTTTATGTGTATACTGTATGTGTCGCCAATAAAATCTGCTTGGCGAGATTGCGCCGGCGAAATTAACATTTAATAAACGATTTTTAATATAATTTTATTGCTGCTAGAAATAAAATTTTTGAGATTAATTTTGTACTGAAATTGTAGTTCCGTTAATTACATAAAAGTGCCGGAGCCATCTTATGTAGGGCTCCGATGCACTCCGGCTAGAATTATCATTTATACCGGAACCTGCACAATTTAAGATCTGACTACACTACATATTTACAGTTCTTGTGAAATGTAGGTTTTCAGTCTGTTGAAGCTAAAATGAGTAACGGTATAAACACTGAATCTTGAATAGAAAATTCTGTAAGGAAGTTGGAAGGTTTTTGGTGAAACAATAAATTACTGAGGGAACTTTTCGTAATTAAAACTTATTCTATACAGTAAACAATATTTTAGGTAATTCAGAAGTCAAACAACAAAAATCAGCCTTATATTTACAAAGTTTTCACAGGACTAGTTTCGATGGTTTTACCGAACCATCATCTTCAGCTGCAAAACCGCAAATGAACAAGATAGGAAATAATGATTAGATAAGATAAGAAAGCCTGGACAAGAATAAGCAAGTGGCGCCATCTGTTGGTAAAACCAGAACTAAAACATAATTTCTTTAAAGGCCGAAGGCAAATTTGGATTGGAATTAGGATCGTTAACTAGAACAGAAAGATTTTTATGAATGTGAAATGCCTCTAGAAAATCCAGTTCTCCAATGGAAGATGTTTTTTGAATAATTTTGGCAGCAGAAAAACTGAAAAGTGTGGTTTTCGGACCAACAATGTTGGGCAACAGAAGACTTCTGTGTTTCCTTTTTTCTAACATATGCCTCATGTTCCTTGACGCGAAATTTTAAGGCTCTCTTAGTTTGGCCAATGTAAATTAAACCACACTGGCAAGGAATCCTATAAATACCCCAGGAATTCATATCCGGAATGGGGTCCTTGAGTACGGAACTCTGAATTTTATTGATGGGAGAATAAACAACCCGAAAGTTAAATTTCTGCAAAATATGTGCAACTTTATAGCTAATTGATGGAAAGAAGGGAATGACAACAGAATTTTTATAATCTTCTAAAACAAGATTGTGCCTTTTAGTGTGTTGAGATGAGAATTTTTTAACTGCTTGATTAATAATGTTGGGTGAAAAGCCCCTGTCAATAGCTATTGCTTTTAAATACTTTAGTTCTTCATCAAGGGCTAGTTTGGAGGAGCAAGTCCTGTGAAAACTTTGTAAATATAACGCTGATTTTTGTTGTTTGACTTCTGAATTAGTATTTATTCGGCGTGTTATTGTGTCTTAATATTTTAGGTAGTTAAGTTTCAACTCCAAATATTAGAATTTTTACGTTTCCGATGAAAAACAGAAAATATTTCAAAAGGAAACACGAAACTACTATTAGGAGATGCTACAGCGTACTTCAGTAACGTTCACAGCCGAACGAATCGCTGGCTTTTCGTTTGTTTACTCCAAGTGAGCTAACCTGTTCTTTCTACGGACCTTGGGTGTGAATAGCCTTTTAGCTATTCGTAGCGAGGAAAAACGTGAATGCAAACACATAATAAATGATTTCAAGATGTATAACGATATTGAATAATTAAAATTAAGCACATTAAAAACGTTATACCTAAAAAATGTAATTACTAATTATTTTGGTATTTTCTTGCCTCCTTTGTTTCCTAATAAACAAAACTTTACGCCTAAAGTTTCCCTTTTTAACTTTTACCAAGATTTTGCAATAACAGAAAGTTTTGGCTATTTTAAAATTGAATGTAAATTTCCTCTTAAATAAGTCTCAAATGTTTTGCAAAACGTTTCATCATTTTGAATGACGTAATTTTTTTTGTCGGCAAAATAGTCTAGCCTGACATGCAAAATCTGGTGACTGATAGTGTGTTCGGTTTGGAAGAAGTTTCTTTTGCGCAAATTAAGTTTGATAATTATATTTTATTAAAAAAGTTTTAGCATTGTGAAAGGTATGACTGTAAACTTAAGGAATTGTCAAAAAAATTCTTTAATGAAAGTTTATATGTTATAATTACGTTTCATTCTCTCCATGTTTATACATTTGTAGTTCATAACATTTATTCATCATTATATTTTGAGGTTGTTTCTTCAACATTTACTTTTTCCAGTGCATAAAAATGGGGGTTCGCTCTTATAATGAAGAACTGCATTATTTGGAGAAAATTAATCCCGTTTGTTGGCGAATTAAGAAAGGTTTCGTATCGAATATGAAAGTAAGTTTAAATGTCACACAATTGGTTTCTACACTTAGTTTACTTTTATTGAATTCTTTTAGTAAATTTATAATTTAGTAATGACAATAAAATTAATTTTTAGGTTGAAGGTATATTTTATGTGAATAGTAAACTAGAAAAGTTGATGTTTGATGAACTTCGCAATGCTTGTCGACCAGGTAACGTTGGTGGATTTTTACCAGGAATGAAGCAAATAGGAAATGTTGCTGCTCTCCCTGGGATAGTTGGTGTAAGCATTTTCTGAAATTATTTTCTTTAATCATAAAGCAAAATAGTCCATAAATAATTAATGATACCAATAGCTTTTGTTGGATATTACTTGTTAATAAATATCTCCTTATAACCATTTATAACCCTAGCTGATTTATGTTACCTGCATATTCATCCTTGTTCTTTCTGCTTCAGTTTTCCCTCAATTCAGTCACTTCTTTAAATATGTATGTTTGGGATTTCTTGGATATTTAAATGAAAGTAATTATTATGCATTACTAAAGACGCTGTTCTGCAACTGCAGCATCTTAAAATGCTGATAATACAATAATAATAAGAATAGCAAATTTTCTTGGAAAAAGCTAGGTCATGTATTTATGATAGTCATGAGATTTGCAACTTGATATAAAATTTCTGCATCCTCCTTGTAAAATATGTATTCCCAGCCTTTGATTATATTTTCCAAATTAACTTCAATTTCAAATTTGATAAATTATAAATAATTTTAAAAATATTTTACATGAAATTCAAAACATTTCACTGTTTTAAAAGTAATAGTGTTATTTAAAAAGTTAATGAAAGAAAGAATGGCTTTCATTAACTTTTTAATAAAAATGCATAATTAACCAATAAAAAATTTAAACTGCTGTTCTCAGTCTATTATAACTTTTCCTAAATGTTCTTTGTCTAAATTTTGCCTATGGAAGAATGATTATGGCTTGCTTTAAAGTTTTTGGATATTAAGAAGGCATTGGCTTGACCAATAGCCAGATCTCTGTCTTAATTTAAAGAATTATTAATTATAATTTTTAATTAATATACATTAATTACTTGTTTTTGAACAAAATAATTAATGCATATTAAAACTATTAATTGAATAATCTCTTGCTGTAAATTGCTTTGAAATGTTTCTGATTGTCATCATTCATCAATAACTAGGCACATTAATAACTTCAGTTTAACTGGAATTTTGGAAGATTGGCAAAGAAAGAAGTCCAAGGAAAAGTTTGTTATAAAAAGATTAAGATCTGATTCATTTCTTTTAAAAGATAATTGTGAAAAATTAAAGCATGTTTGATAGGTGGGCTGTTTAGTCAATGTTTCCAGGTTAACCTTAAGTGGAGACCAAATGAAAAATACTCATATGCAACTACAAATAATCATGTAAGATTTGGACTGTGAATCGGTGCCATTAAGTTTTCTGGAATGATGAAACAACACTTTTTTGGACACCAAATAGTGGATCACAGTTGTTTAACTCATTCAGTACGGGCATGTTATATGTGCATCAGCAACGAACATTACCTCACGGCCGGGTGTGTCATATTTGAATTGCCATTTAATTCACTCTATGGCCGGGCGTACCAGATTTGACTTTTTAGATAGAACGTTTAATTAATATTTTTTGTTGCTGTTAGATGTAGCTGTATGTGTGATATGGGGAAATATATCGAAAGTTCATTCCTAAGCAATGTTTTTTATTTTTGATATTTTGTTTCGGAGTGAGAGGGAGATTCGTGGTTAGGTGTTGAGCAATGTAATGTCTCTTTAACTGCATTATTTAATATAAACAAATGCACGTGTTCTCGATGCTTTGAGGTACTTTTTATTTTTATTTTTGCGATGTAGGTATCGGAACGTAGAAGAATGTACACAAAAGCTAATTCGTTAGTGTTGAGTAATGTGATGGCTCTTACTGCATCGATGCTCTGAAGTTCTTTTAATTTAATTAATTAATTTGTTTTTATTTTATTTTAATAAAATTTTTTTATCACCATATAGTGGAGTAGATGTTCTATCATTAGAGACTTTTTTATTACTCTTAGATTTTTCCGGCATTGAGACGAATATTTTGTATAACTTACGAAAAGTTTTTTTTTAAATGTTCTATTGCTGGCATTCTATTATTTTAATGGCAAAACGAAAGCACTATCTGAGCGTAGAAGATACACAGATACTAAATGAGTCAAATTTGCTGATATTCTACTCCGGTGACATTTGCAACGTTGGACTTTGCATACATTCATGTTTTAAAGAATATCGTGCACTGTCTCTTAATTGAAATATTGCTTCCCTTTCGTTGTTTGCACATTGAATTTTTATGAAAGACAGTTCTAATATTTTAAATTTTAATTATGTGTTGTGTTAAATAAAATCTGCGATTGTTTGGATATTTTTACATATATATTTAATTGTGGGATAATGGAAAAATTATATTATTCTGAATGAGTATTTTATAAAATTTTTAAGGAAAAAAATATAACAATAAGGTTTAAAATTAATTCAACAATTACCTGAATGTTCTTTCATAATGTACCAGAAATTTGGATTTATTTATTTATATAATTTTTTTTTCCAAAATCCCCTGACGTTTTAACATATCCCGTACATTTATGTATATAAACTTGAACGTTATGATTCACGATTCTATTTATTCACAGTTGGAGAGCATCAATTTAATCAAGAATATACTAGTATATCAAGAGTCAATATACCATTTTCACGTAAAGACTCAACTTGAAAATAAGAACTTCCAGTTGAAACACAGAAATATTTAATGAAGAGCTTATGTACATTATTTACATTATTCAAAACACAAAATTTACATATAATATAAATTTCCCATCATAGGGCCAAGATTAGTTTATCAAGAACAATTATTATAATTGTTGATTACCGCTATGCGGCCAAGAACAGATCATTTCAAGCGTCGCACTCAAGCTAACTAAAAGAGTATTACATTCTTTCTCTGCCGCCAGTCACGTGACCTAGTCGGCGACAGACGATAAATAATAAAAGAAAAATTGGTTCCATCGGAGGGAAAAAGAAATAATTTCAACAAACTCCCCCCCCCCGATGAACAATAGGTTCATCATAAATTTAACTAACCATTACAATATTACTATAACAATAAGAAACAAATAAAAATTACTTACATATACAGGTCACAGTATATCAATAATTTCTTAACAAGAAAAATTTTTCTGAAACTATAGAAAAAAAAAAAAAAAAAAACATTTAAATTAACATTTCTCAAGATCACCACAAATCATTAAACCAAGGAAAATAATAATGAATAAATGAAAACATTATGAAAAAGAACATTTTTTTTTCATCAGTTATCATCAGTTTATCAGTCATTCAGTCCAATTTTTTTTAACCAGTCACTGATTATTGCAATTACTGATATCATCAATTTCTAAATTGTACAATAGCTGCACTGGACGTTTGATTACCGAATTACCAGTTTTCACTTCACACGATCTGATCATTCCATCTCTACCAATAAAGGTTTTGGTTATTCTTCCTAATTTCCACCAGCTTCTAGGTAAATTTTCATCATGAACAAGTACTATATCATTTACGTTGAATGCAGATGGTTTCTTCTGACCGGTATAATGAGCAGATCTCAAGCACAGGAGATATTCTTTTTTCCATCTGTTCCAAAAGTGATTTATTAGATTTTCTCGTGTACGGAAACGTTTTAACATTACTTCTCTGGAACCTGGTAAATTCAAGTCATTCCTCCTTACAGCTGGCAAACTCAAGAGTCGTTTACCAATCAACAGGTGGGCTGGAGTAAGTGCGGAGGGCTCTTCAAGATCAGAAAAGACGTATGTTAATGGACGCGAGTTTATCATCGCTTCTATTTCAAGCAAAAGCGTTTCTAATTCACTTTGAGTCAAAGATGATTTCCCAATGTTCTTTCTTAAACTAGTTTTTACACTGCGAACTAAACGTTCATAAAAACCGCCCCACCAGGCAGCACGTTCCACAATGTATTTCCATGTGATTCCATGCGAAGCATAAAATTTTTTAACTTCAGGGTGGTTAATCACTTTCCACATTTGCTTTAATTCAAGTTCGGCTCTTTTAAATGTTCTAGCATTGTCCGAGTACACAGTGGAACACAAACCTCTTCGGGATACGAACCTGCGGAAACGCAAGTAAAAATTCTTCAGTGCTCATGCCTTTTACGAGCTCCAAGGTGAATAGCTCTTGTAGTGGCGCAAGTAAACAATAAAATGTAGTATTTGTTTGTCATTTTCTTTTACATACAACAAAGGACCTGCAAAATCGAGTCCACAAATTGCGAAAGGTGGAGATTCATTAACTCTATCCGCTGGAAGAGGTGCAGTGATTTGTTGTCCAGGACGTACATTATATTTTTTGCATATTATATTAGCATTTACTCAGGATTGATTTGACGTATTGTTTTCCTCTTAAGAGCCAGAATTTTTCACGTATATGCACTAGAGTATATCCGATACACCCGCATGATAAACCTTTTCATGAGCGTCTCGTACTACTAATTCACTTAATTTATGTTTTGAAGGGATTACTATTGGATGTTTGTTGTTAAATAGTAGGTTTGACTTTTGTAACCGACCTCGTACCAAAAGTAGACCTTCATCTGATAATATGGGATTTAATTCGAACAATTTTGAATCTTTTGGAATATGCTTGTTTTCTCTTAGAGACTCTATAACTTCAGGAAAAACTATCTTCTTGAGCTTGTTTTAACCAAAAGGTTTCAGATTTACTGATTTCTTCTGCTGAAATTTCCGCAAAATTTCTATTTTCCCTTTTTACTTTTAAATTTGATATAAATCTGAAAATCCAAGCAGTCACACGATAAAGTTTTTTCAAGGAACTAAATTTTGTCAAATTCATGAGTGGAACATTTTCAGTTTTGTCTGTTTTGATCAAACACGCTAGGATAGCTTCCGATTTTCGAGATTCTTCTGATACATCATGTAATTTTGACGTCGATAGTTTGGGTTTTGGCCATTGACTTTCAGGTAACGAAAGAAATGCAGGGCCATGCCACCATTTCGAAGAATTTATCAGTTCTTTTGCAGAACAACCCTTTGTTATTAGATCTGCAGGGTTGAGTTTTCCTTCGCAATGTCTCCATGAACAAGGATCTGAAATTTCATGTATTTCTGAAATTCTATTAGCAATGAAAGGTTTCCATCTTTTAGCTGTACCTTTAATCCAATGTAGAACTATTTCCGA